GCGCTTGGTGATGTGAGAGCCTGGTCCGGTGAGAACCCGGCGTGCTCCGTCCCGGCTTTGTAGGGATGCGAGATCAATGGTCTAACGACTACGGCATGCACGACAATGAGTACAACCCCCCCTCGGTGATTGCCATCCGGATAGGGTTTTCGTCGCTTGGCAACGACGTTGTAAAACATGCCAATTCACCTCGTGAACTCGGCAACCAGGTTACCGTTTGTTTTTTTACCTCTATTTTTTTTTTTTGCGGTAACCATAATGGTGGTCGTCGAGAACCCTCACTCCGCGCCAGGGGGATGATCGCACTACGTTGTGTAAAAATGGTCAAGCACCCTCGAGGCAGGTACACAGTGTGTGTGTGTGTGTGTGTGTGTGTGTGTGTGTGTGTGTGTGTGTGTTTTCGTCCTATTTACTATGCGACAGTCCCCCCATATTTCGTGGTGTACTACACTTTTCAGCGCATGTAGAGTATTAGTACTACACTTTTCAGTGTAGCTTTTCGTACATTTACAACCATTCAGGGTCACACAGGAGGGGGTAAACACCAGCGCTTTTTTCTTCTTTTTATTTCTGTTCATGCCCCACCTTCCTCCTGCGGTGCGTGCTGAATTTTATTTTTATCGCGAGAAGGGTCCAGCCGTCCCTTTCCCTCGTCAACGGTGCAAACGTCGAAGTTTGGTACTCACGAGAGCTTTTTAGCTATATTTCGCTTCCACCCGCAAATTTCGAAATTTTTTCACCCCATGGGGATTCGAACTCACGACCTCTGCGACTAGCGAATTACGAGGATACCACTAGACCACCGGGGCGACCGGTCCACAGTGCTTACAACTGTCTCTAGACGTGAAGCACCAGAAAATAAACTAAGTCACACGCAGCTGTCATCCGTACGCAAGGAAGTAAGCACAAGATGCCGAACACCCTTAGCAGGATGCAGCGCACCCTTCATGCGACTCGCCAAATATCTCACGGCGCTTTGCGCTTGGTGATGTGAGAGCCTGGTCCGGCGAGAACCCGGCGTGCTGCGTCCCGGCTTTGTAGGGATGCGAGGTCAATGGTCTAACGACTACGGCATGCACGACCATGAGTACACCCCCCCCTTCCTTCTTGCATGCAAGAAACTGTGAGGATGTATAGACTGCACTCCCAAGCTGTGTCTGACTGTTTCGTATGTAGGGTCCCGCCCACCCACAACCCACCTGTCGTAATCTTTCGTTGTCTCCAATATTTTCAGCAGTACAATAGTGGTGGTCTCTACTACTGCAGGACATGGACTACTACTGCTGCGTCCATGGGTGCAACAGAAGGGCCCCGGGTACCGGTGGCCTTCTGACCTGATCGTGCACAGAGGAGTTCCCGCCACCACCACAATACGACTCAATGATCTGTCCATGACGGGGAACGCGTAGTACGCCTCTGCTGTTTTCCCCTCTCTCCCGTCCGGCTTTTTCGTTTCGGAGAGGAAGCCTGATCTGAAAATTACATCTTTTGGGGTCCGGATTCTTTCCGAGCTTACGGATAGCGCGTTCTGGTGGTCTCCTTTTCATTCGGGTGCGATGTACTATGTAGACGAGACAGATCATCAGCGAGACGATTAGCGTGATTCTTGACAGCATGGAGTCCCTCGCCACAAAAAAGTGCATGCGAATGGATGGGCGAAGTGAGAAGTGCCCTCTCTTCTCTCTCTCCACTCAAGGCTGGTCGAAGACTGACTTGTTTTTTCGGGTGCGCATGAGGTCGCCTCTAACTTCTTAGCGCGAAAGAAATGGTGAATCATGGTCTCCAACAACGTAGACTACATACTTTTTGTGAAGTCAATCTTCCAGCAGCGGTACTGCAACATTGCACCAATCCCCCACGAGCAACGACGTGGCTTTGCTGTTGTCTCGGGGGGCCCGTTTGTTCTTGATTTATTGTTTGTTGTTTGTTCTGGCGTGTCTCCTCCGCGTCTTTCTCAATTCTCCCCTCTCCTCGTTTCTTCTTCTTTTGCTTTTTTCTCTTTTTTGTCCGGTCTATAGTTACGACATGGTTACCTCGCTAGCGTGTACCAGGTACCAGGCGAACGGAGGGTCCTAGACTAATCTGTCGTTGAGATTTCTAATAACATGCGGCCCGTTCTCGGGTAAGCTATCCTGTGACCACACGGGGGGAATCGACCGCGTCATACATAAAAATAGGACGGACAAAGAACGGGACGGTTTTTATTGTGAAGACAACAAACAGCTGGAACTGCTGGGTTTGTCCATGGATAGATTTTGCAGAGCTTACGGAGTTTGTTGGAGGGAGCAGCTCTCCTTTTTCTTATGCATGTACCTGCAGTGCTGTAGGTGACGTAATATATCACAACGCCTTCATCAATATTCACAGCTATTATAGCTAATATTAGTCCACGACGACGAGGATGAATGTCTAACGATACGTTTGTTGTCGGAAGGCTATCGGTTCCATCGCCGCCCGGCCACTCTTCTTTCTGCTGTGGAGTAATCGAGCTTTGAAAATTTTGTTCAGGAGGTGTGATATCTTATGTCACATACTCTGGTGCAGAACTTTTTGTCGTGCTCGGTGAGCAAGCAAGCGCGTCGCTGTGTGCGCTCTCGACTGTTTTTATTGTTTGTTTGTTTTCTCCCATGATTGGACTCTGTTGTCTGCCCCTCTGGCCTCTATCCTCCACTTCAACCAGCTAGACGACCAAATGGGGGTCACATAGGAGGGGGGGGTCGGACCCCCTCCTGCGGTTCCTGCCTGAGATATGTTTACTGTATTAACCGCTGAAAAACTGGAAAGCTTCAGACAGGCAACGCGACGATACTTGTCGAGGTGCTATCACAATTTTTTGAATAGGGGTCCTTTACCGGGCTCACTCAACGGCGCTCAAGGTACTTATGTTTGGAGTACAATAAAATATTGAACCTGAAGCCTTTAACTGACAAGTTCGGCAGTGCAGTCGCTGTCCGTGGAACCAACCCTAGTACAACAGTACCGGGGTGCCAATGTTGGGACCCTTTCGACTGTGGACAGAAACCAACCTTGGGAATGGACATGACAAATTTTGGACGCTAATTGAGAGTTGAGCGCATTCAACCCTGACAATAGAGATACCCAAAGTCAGGAAATGGGCGACTTCCGCAGGGCGCCTGCCCCACCCCAGAGTTAACGAGGGGGGACCTACGGAATTACAAACAGTACGGTAAAAGTGATATTTATTTTTGTCAATCCCCGACGGTGGGCTGTTTGCCTTGCATTTATTTAGTTTTGGCGGAAATGTTTTGTGTTTGTCTTGGTTCGAGATGATGCTCGGAGGTAGACGGCATGACATGCTGGTGGAGACAAGCCTCAACCGCTGCTTAGTGCGACAATCGACGGATTACAGTTTCGGACAACTGCTTTATCTGGTCTCACGTGCTTGTACGGTATTCAATCCAAATGGTACTAGTAAGAAAATATTTCGTATGTGTGCGACGGCTGTGCTGCACATCTCTCGGTGGTTTCCAAGGTCACATGTAAGACCGGAACATGAGCGTGGGACTGGCACTACGCATGCACGCCTAGGCGATCGTGCCATGCTCATCTTTCGTCACAACCACATACCCATTGTCACGATCGAGCTTGAGACTGTCCTCGCAGCTGCGTTCGGCAATGGAAGGACCAAGAGCGCTACTATTTAACACATTCACTCCACACAGCTTCGTCCTCCAAGGGCCGCACAACGTGGCGTCGGAAAACGTACGCAACAAAGCGGTATCTACTGCTGTACATACGTGAAACATCATCGTGTCCGTGCTGCTCTTTATCCCGCTGTAAGATTGTCGGCTCTCGTTGGCCAGTCGATTGCGCAGTGGACACCCTAGTAAAAGAAACAAACTTGAGCGCTTGTACAGGAAGCATACTCCGTGCGTTGCAAGATCACGATGCTGCGGTAGCAACAAGTAGCAGCGTGCCCGACTGCCCTGTTCTCTCTGGTCCCTCTGGTCCAAAAAATTTAAATCCATTTTTCAAGATTCTAATGTAGTATGCGTATCACATCACAGATGAACAGATTGCGTCCTGAAGGTAGAACGAGCAGACGTTCTACGCCTCCACGTAATCGACAAATATCTTGATAGGCAAGTCCTCTTTCACCTCACTACACCGACAGCAGCGTATGCTGCCGTGCAATGTACAACACTCACCGGGAGGAGGAGTTGCCCCAGGATCCTCGTCCGCAAGTGCGCTGGTTTGCTGATCCTTCGCCACCGCAGCAAAGCCGCCTAGAAGAAGGCAGGCGGCTGCTGTGAGGCAGCGGTCCGACGGCGATGGCGGTGGCCTCGCGAGAGGAGGAGCCGTGGCGATCGCCGCCCGACCAGCCCCAGCGGCAGCCCGACGAGCGCTCGTAATCCTTGCGAATGCCGTTCGCACGTACATGACGGCAACGTGTCTTACGTCTTTACAGCTGCTCCCAAGCTTCCGTAGTGTCGCCAACCACCCAACCAAGACGTGGACCTGCGAGGTGGTGCGTGTTTGTGCGCAAACTGCCACACCAATCGACTTCACTTACCCAACGCTCCTGGCGCATCAACCACAGCACGACGCTTGCTGGCTTGACGGCTGATAAAGGGGGGCACAAGAGATGGGAATCGCACGGAGGGTCACTAGCAGAGGGTATCGAGCCGCACGTGCGTCCATCTTTATTCAATTATGCAGATGCTTCTACGATGAGGTGGGCCTTCATCATCTATTTGTGTTGAACGCATATATCAGGCAGAGACCCCTATTGTCTCCCTTGGCCTGCACCGCCGCTGGTCTGCTGCCTTACAAGCGTGGGCGGGATTGCTCGAGAGGAGAGCAGGGGGTGAGGGCAGAAAGCCGTGCTCTCGGGGAGAAAGAAGAGCGCGAAAAACAAGACCGCGAGGTGCGCGGGAGGGTGGGACAATCCAACTATGGGCAATTCCAGCAGCGTGGAGGATGGGTCGGGGCTTGCGTCCCCAAACATCCTCTCCAAGGTCACGGTGAAGGGCAGTAAGGCGGGCATGGACGCCTTCTTGACCGAAGGCCGTGTCAACAACGTGCAGATCGCGTACGTGACCAAGAAGCAGGTGGGCGGAGAACGATTGTTTGTTTTTGTATTGCCCTCATCCCCGCCCATCGCACCAACCCGCTCTTGTTGTCGTTCATCTTTTCTTTCGTTCATTTCTCTGCTGGCTGGTCTCCGAACCACATGCACCGTCGTCCGTGGTTTGTGGCGCCTCAAATCGCGTGCGGCAACAGACGACTCTCTCTCTCTCTCTGGCCGCGCTGGCGTCCGTACTGCTGTTCTCCGACTTTCCATGATACAAGATGATTTTATTATTTCATAAGTTATCAGTTGTGGACAATTACAAATATGCCGTTCGGAATCAATCATCGTTCGGCCGGCACAGCGCTTTCCGTTTCCCTGCTGCTGTGAATTGCCACAAAGGTTAATAAACATAGACGACAACAGAGAGTTTTTTTTTTTGTCTGGGCGTGATGATCCCGGCGCTAGTTGACCCCTTGTTTCGAACAGCAGGCGAGAGCCCGCATCTCGTAGATACCTAAGTGAAGTAGCGTCAGTCTCGCCTTTGGCTGCTGCTGCTGCTGCTGCTCTCTTATGGTTGTATGGTGGGTGGATGTTTCGCACACTAAGTCTTTCCGCACACCACACAAATCAAAAATCGAAGAGAGAAGAAGTTTGGATGGTTGCGACCGCTGTTATTTTGTTGGTGTACGAAGGGATTATGCATGGGTGGGGCCGTTGAGGCCCAACCGTGCGGGGGAAAAGGCGCCTTTGGGCTTTTAGCGCGGACTACATTGCGCAACGTCGCAGCTTGTCAGAGATCGATGCTTTTTTTGTGCGTAGATAACTGCAACTGCGGTTGTTCTCTCGTACGACTGCAGCACAGCTCGACCGTTTGATCAATCAACATATCGGAGCGCGGGGCTTGCTCGCACTGACATCGGTGTTTGATGGTTGACAAGTGCGGACAACCATCCAATCCCCAACTTACAGGCCGTTTCGATCTCTTCCTGTGCTGGTATACTGGTGTATTATACCATCATAATCTATGTTATATATTATGCTTCTTTTTGAACGTGTGGCAGTCTTGTAGACTATACACTCCGGAGTTTTTCCCTTGGAGCCAATCGATCTTCCCCCTCTTGCCTGATGTGGCTAGATGGGAGTACACACACCACTGGCCGCTTTATTTCGTTTTGATCTCGCACACAACAGGCGCCCCTTTTCGTGTCCACCTGTAAGATACGATCCTGATATTTTGTACTCCTGCTTGTACCACACACATACTCAAGAGCACCCCGCTGTTCCTTGAATGCAGATCTGGGAAATGTATTATTATTAGCAAGCTTTTTGCTTGCCAACCATCCCATCGTCATCTTGTCTCCCCGCTGCTGGTGCCCAGCAGTAGCGCACCTGCACACAAGAAAACAACCTGATGATAAGTTACGCTCGCTCCGTTAGACAGGGCCGTCACGTCGCTTCCAATTTCCAAATCCGTGTATCATAATTTTATCGAACCTCGATTTTGCGACCGAGGAATTATTGTTGGAAATTAGGAAAATTCGACACATACCACTCGCACCGAAAAATTGGGAACGGCTGCTTACATGCGAATTTCATACTCCGTGCTGCTAAATACTGTACTTAGTAGTTAACTTTTAAGCAAGTTGCGTCCAAATTTTATTCATGACTAAGAGGAATGATCGAAGTCAGAAGTTGGAAATTTGGAAATTTGGAAGCAAGGCAGCATTAAGTTTGAAACGACCCTTAACCCGCTTATCACGCACAGAAAATTCGGCGTTCTTGCGAATTTTTCTGAAATGTAAGAGAAAGAGCGAACGACGCCTGCTGATTGGATGGTGCAGACAGTTTCATCACTCGGTGCAAGCGCAAAGCTGCCTTCCCACTTGAGCCGTCTCTTGTCTGTAATCCCTGTCAAATGTCTCCTCGATTAATTGAGGGGACATTTGATGGGGATTATAGACAGCAACTGGCGGGAGCGTCGTAAACGGGGCACGAAAAGGAGGTCCTCAAGATATTTCTCTGCAGGGAAAGCGAGACCTTCTAACCCAAGCCCTAGGTTGCCCGGTGCCTCCTGTCGACGGTGGGCTAGGTACTTCTTCCGCGCTTGCCCGTAGTAGCGCTTTCCACCGAAGGGTAGACAGACGCGGCGCAACTTCGCTGTTGAACTCGCGGCGTAATCGCCCCGCGATTCGAACTGTTGATTACCCTCATACTCCTCCACTCTACAAAGTATCCATACTAGACTAGAGACGTCCCCGTGTACCCTGGCACCCCCCCTGGTCGAGTAGTTCACAGGAGGAGACAATCATGTCATTCTTCGCGAGGTAAAGCAGGTGAAGAAGATGGGTACAAAAAGTGTCCCCAACACGCGATCTAGCCCTAAAGGGGTTAAGCCACGGGTAGAGCAATATCGAGAAGAGACGTCGAAGGCGAAGACCCAGCCATGCATCACCTCTTTCAACTTGGGTTGTCTCGTTGCGAGGCGCTTTTTTTTCGTGGAGGGAAACAAGACCCGGCAAGGTACATATGCATGCTTACTACGCATACTTAACATGCGCATATGCATATTGTTGTTGTTTGTTGTTGTTTCTCACATTAGCTCTAAAAAAAAAGATTGGGAGCCCGTGGTCTCAAAACCCGGCATACACGACCCCACGAAGAAACAGAAAAAATAGGGTACACAAACCACTCGGAAGAGACACAAAATGATAGAAAGAAAGACCAGCTACCGCGCCAAACGAGAAAGAGCGTCGAGGAGACCGATCAAAATAAAATAAAATAAAAGGAGAACGGGGAACGCTTCCCACACCCGCCTACAACGCCGGAGGGTTCCGTGCCGGGTTCCCGCAGACCAGGCATCCCCCGCCCTGCACCACACCCCAGGGGGTGCAGCAAGACGGGGGGCGAAAAACCAACACATATATATTCCCACAAAAAAAAATAAAAAATCGAAGGACAACGTACACCAGTACCAGGTACTACAGCAGTGCAGTATGCACCAGCGCATTAGTGTAGGGTAGGCACCGCACCAAAGAGGCAGCAGAGGTGGCAGGCAGCCAGCAAAGGAAAAAACAAAAATAACAAGGAGCTCGAGGTATCGTCCAAGATCATCGTAGAGAGGGCATGGAGAACAAGAAAGAAAGAAAGAAGAAAAGCACAAAGAGAGGCCGGAGGCAATACTAAGAGCATACAGCTTACGGCAGGGAAAAGGGAACACAGGGTGCGACAACATCATCAGTTGGGTACGTCGTTCGCCGCAAGCGCGGCCTTGGCCGCCCTACTCGCTTCTACAGCAGTTTCCGGTCGCCGTTTCTTCCCCCCCCCCGCCGCTTCCCCGATTCTCTTTCTCTTCGGGCCCGGGGCGGCCGTGCTCTCCGTCTCTGCTTCCTCCGCGCGCTGGCGCTGGCGCTTCGCGGATGCTTCCGCCTCCTGTCTGTGCCATTTCCTCATGAACCATGCCGCCCCGTCCTCGATCTTGTCGTACCACGCCTCCTGGTCCTTGGCGCTCTCTTTCCATCTCCCCCCCTCCTTCTCCTCTTTCATGCCAAACGCCACGAGGTCCTCTCCTAGGCGATACACCCAGTCGCTCTCCTGCCCGCCCCGGTATCCGGTACCCCCCGCCATCGCTCCCAGCAGCATGCGCTTGGGGAGGCGGTTGTCCTCCATGCGCATAACGAAGCCCGCAAAACACAGCCTCCGTTTGCGCACGGTGGCCTCGATGGTTTCCTCGCAGCCGGCCTGGATGAGGGCCTGGGCGTAGGACAGGGGTCGGTCTGAGCGCTTCCGCTTGCTCCAGCCGATACACCGTGTCAGGAACTGGCGGTGGGTCCCATTCAGCTTGGTGTAGTGCTCCGCTGCCAGGCTCCACGAGGCGCACCCGTATAGGAGGGTCTGCACCACTTCAGCCTGGAGTAGTCGGATCTTGAGCTGGCGGTTCATATGTACGTCGACTGACAAGAGTTGTTGCTGTTTCCGTTCATTGTGCATCCATTGGTGTGTGGAAGCGGCACACACGTCAAGTTTCTTGTCCGTTTTATTTTATTATCTTGATAATTTATGATCCAACGAATCCATCTCTACCTATAGAAAAGAGTCTACGGTAGATTAGCAATGAACCCTCGCGTCCGCGAAGGTACATATTTCCAAGATCTGTTTTGGCTCTTCCTGTCTCCCAGGAAGGCATTTATTGATTTGTCCCGCTCGCAAGCCAGCCCAGCAGACAGGAACGACTACCGCAGTAGAGGGAGAGATGGCATCCATCCCCTTAGACCGATTTTCAAAACTCTATCACTCAACAACTAAGCTTCACCAACACCAGAAAATGGCGGTGCATTGTTGGAAACATGTTACCCACAACCCTTGGGGTCCTTCCGGAAGGTTACCCCCCAGGCTGGTGGTGCGCACGTTCCACTATTTATTTATTTATTTGTTTCTGATTCTTGTGTTTTCTTGTATTTTATCGCTCTGCTAACCCTTGGGGTCCATTTCATTTTGGTATACCTTTTCTAGGTACGTTAGCCTGTGACCACGGAAATTGACCGAGTCAAGTGCTGGATTAGTACGGAGAGATTGAGACAGAAGGAGGTACTGGATAGAGAGACCGGGATGGTTTTTAATGTGAAGACAACAACAACAACAACAACAGGGGAGATATCGCTGTGTGCTTGCTGCTCGGGAAACCGTGTAAGTACAGGTAGCTTTCTCTGACGGTATGAATTAATTGCTCATCTATGTTAAGACTATTTTCTTGGATACAGAGGAAGTCGTTGGGTCATACTCAGAAAATACAACAGAAAAAAAACCTTGTGCAGGGCTTTCCGCCTATGCACATAAGAACCGCAGGAAGGGATCCAACCCCCTCCCCCCCTACATGTATGAGACCCCGGTTGGGTCGTCTAGCTAAATATTAAATAGTAGAAGTGGAGGACAGGGGCCAGAGGGGCAGACGACAGAGTCCAATGATGGGAGAAAAAAAAAAAAATACCACCGGTCGCCCCGGTGATCTAGTGGTATCCTCGTAATCCGCTAGTCGCAGAGGTCGTGAGTTCGAATCCCCATGGGGTGAAATTTTTACGAGAATTGCGGGTGAAAGCGAAATATAGCTAAAACGCTCTCGTGAGTACCAAACTTCGACGTTAGCACCGTTGACGAGGGAAAGGGACGGCCGGACCCTTCTGGCGATAAAAATAATAATTCAGCACGCACCGCAAGAGTAAGGTGGGGCATGAAAAGAAAGAAAAAGAAGAAAAAAGCCCTGGTGTTTACCCCCTCCTGTGTGACCCTGAATGGTTGTAGTTGTACGAAAAGCTACACTGAAAAGTGTAGTACTCTACATACTCTGAAAAGTGTAGTACACGTCTCACCACGAAAAATGGGGGCACTGTCACCATAATAAGTAGGACAAAAACACACACACACACACACACACACACACACACACACACACACACACACATATTGTCGGGCTCTTTCCGTAGCCACTGGGATGTGGAGCAATCGAGCTTTGATAGTGAGTCTAGGGGGGGGGTGCCAGCCCTTCGCCCCTTGCGGTTAAGGCAAGAAGGTGTTGGGCGTAGGCTTTCTGCACCTTGCGCGCACTGGTGCTAGAACACGGCGTTTTGCTGATACGGGCACCCCGCCCTGTAGGTGCGGTGCTGAATACGGTGGCGAATGTCACATTCGAATTGTGTACATGCCACCGCGCACATAACTACTACCACGTAAATATTGGCACCGAATTGGTAAGTTGCACAATATCTCTGCTGTGGAGTGGAACGAACGGTCTTTTCGAGTGCGAGAGCAACTTAGCAAGTCACACGGGGGCGTGTGCGCTGGCAACCAGGCTGCGTACCACATGTACCGATGGAGTATATCGCTCTTCTTGCCCATGGTTGACCGGCGTTTTTGTTGTGCGGCTTTTCCACGCTTGCTTGCTCTGGAAACGAAATGTTGATGTTGGACGAACGTTGGACGGAACACATCTGCGCGATATGTAAGACTGCTGTACAGCAGTAGGTGGCCCGGCTTTGTGGCATGGTAGGGGCAAGAGGAGAATATGCCACTATTCAGGGCAGTGCCATTACTAAATATGTGGTGGCAATATTGCCACTACTGAAGTGAACCGTGAAAAGGGGCACTATTGCCGCTGCTGCATCGGAGAATAAGCTTTGATGTGCACGCTACCGACATTTGTTGAGGAAAAGCAGCTTTGATATGCACCCTACCGACATCTTTGAGGACAATAAGCTTGACGTGCACCCTACCGACGGCTGTGCTTGTGTCTACATTCATGTGTGTGTGGTGTAGTACTATCTACAGCAGGGTAACTCTCTCCGTTGTTGAGCGGCTATTGCAGCAGTATGCACGTGTATGGCAGATCCGGCCCATCACATGTGAAATGGCAATTGATCGTCCAAGTGACAACGAGGCCCTTTGTGCTCGCAACCTACTTCCTTTCTTGGTGTGCAGGTAGACTGCAAAACAATGTCCAAACGCCCAGTTGCAAAGTCACGCTTTCTTGTGTCTCCGGTGGGCCATGTAGGATGGAACGCAGCACAAGCAATTAAACATGAAACGACCAGTGTACGCGAAACCAACAGGAGCAACCAAGCATTGTAGACGTCGCGCGCTCCCCACCCCGGCGCATCAATCCCAACCGTCACGATGCTTTTCACCTATATATACGTGTCAGCAGACTACTTTCACGATGACTGGGTAATCGCTCTGATGTCCAAGTGTTGAGTCGGTCTAGTGGAATGTGCTGCGAAGAATACCATCTTTGCCTTGCGGACTCGCCAATCCCACACGACTTGGCGTAGTCTTCTAGAGGACTATAAAGCGCAGAAAGCCGATGTGTGTGTGTGCCACTATTGGAGGGGTGAGATGCCCAAAATGCCACTTTTGAGGGGCACGTTGGCAACACGCCATTATATCGGGAGTTTCATTATTCAGGGTGCCACTTTACGCGGGCCACCTACTGTATGCAGATTGCAGATTTTTCTGTTTTTTTTTTCGTAGTATGACACGACGAACAGGCTCAACAAGACAGTTAATTCGCCGTCTTGTCCATCTATCCGTATGTTATGCTGAGAAGGGTGTAGAAGCAAGTTTTTCTCGGTTCGCGGGGCTGTTCAAGTGCTGTTTAGCTTGCAAAAACGTCACAGCTGGTTCGCTGGGCTGTTGAAGCACTGTTGAGCTTGCTAAACGTCACAGCTGGCAGCTGGCCGCCAGCTGTGGGTTGGTCCTGCTGCATGCTTTGTTTTTTATTTCATCACGCCTTGATGTCAATTGTTTTCTCATTAGCCCACTCCGGAGAGGGTGAGACGATCAGGCTTAAGTGTTCGAAACGACGCAGATGAGAGAAATAGGTGCGACGTCCGGGGGACCCATGATATGTGTATGCAGCTGTCATTCATACCTGTAGCATTTGTGCCACGAAGCACCTCCGGCGCAATACGCTGTTATTGCAGATCTACCGCGCAGAAGAGGAGGCATAAAAAGGGGTCCGGTGTTAAGAGTGCCTTGACAACAGGTTGAAGAACAGCAAACACCGCTCCTGGTGTTTTGTGTATTCCTCTTGCCCCTATGTTCCGAAATGATCGTCTCCGGCACGAGTGGTTTGTTTGAAACCGTCGGGGAGCATCGGGCTCGGATCAGGTGTTCGTGGGCCGGCAAAAACAACAACACCCCCAACCCCAACACCGACATTTTTTGTCTTTCGTTATCTTTTCTTTGGTCTGCTTTCCGTACCCCTTGATCGATCACCTTGATTCAGCACGAGCGGTTTAACCCCCGGAACATAAACCGAAGAGTGGAGCTGACGCACGCCGCGCTGAAGAGCGTGAAGCGGAATTGGGCCATGATTTCGGAGGGCCCAGAGACTCAGGTCAGCTGGGGGCAAATAGGCAATGGAAGGAACTCAGGGCGAAAGGAACCGAAAAGTATGACTCCGGTGTTTGATCTGCCTTTCGTTCGGTGCTGCCCAGGTTGGTGCGTCCGGCGTTATCCCGGTGGTGTAGACTGCCGCCCACAGTACTAGATTAGAGCGAAAGCACACGCAAGACACGCACATGCGTATGTTATGTGTCGCCCCGAACTCGGTTGACCCTTCCAGAGGGGCCACAACCCCAAGTACAACATTCAAAATCAACCATACCCACAACAATGTTGGTGGTGGCGATTGAAAACCGCAGGGCTCATTCAAAGGGGCGTCGACTTCGCTAGTGGCGCTGTACGACACTTTTTTCGCGAGAATCTTCCTGCTGGAGCCGTCGATGCGATCCATGTTCGGAGATAATATGATCCGACAGTCGAAGTTCCTGGGGGGGTTGGTGAACATCATTGTGAGTGGTGATTAGTCAACATCATTGTGAGTTGATGATTGGTCAACATCATTGTGAGGGGTGATTAGTCAACATCATTGTAAGTTGATGATTGGTCAACATCATTGTGAGTGACGATTGGTCAACATCATTGTGAGTTGATGATTAGTCAACGTCATTGTGAGTGACGATTGGTCAACATCATTGTGAGTTGATGATTAGTCAACGTCATTGTGAGTGATGATTGGTCAACATCATTGTGAGTGATGATGTGGTGAAACTGGTACCGAATCGAAGGTTGCGAGACGGCGATGAGACGGCAGTCACCCTCGCCGTAGATGCCTCCACAACTGCCCGGGGAGTCAGCCTTGGACGAACACTTTTTTTTTTTTAAGGGGAGGGGATGTCCCCTATCCATCGGTGCAGAGGGAGGATGTTCTCTCGAACGAAGGGCCTTGCGTGCCCCTGCCGTCTATTCTCTACTCTCTAGCGACACCATTTCCGAGGTCCCTGGCTCCTGCGTACCGAATGGGTTTGTGTTTGTATACCCCTGCCGTCTATGCTGAATGAACTGCAAGGTCTATAAAGCAAACCATGGCCCTTGTTTCCTCGCTCCTGCATCATTCCGCAAGGGAGTAGCGTACAACAAGGTTCGCCCCCAGATTACGGTGGTATCTAGTGCCAAAATAATACGCGCTCCATGCTGTGCGCCTGACCTTCGTATGTTTCGGTGTTTTAGGTAAAAATGGAGGACATGCTGAAGCAGGGGCTGTCGCCTTTGTACTCTTTCGCCGACCGGAGCGTGGCCATGGGGGCGAGGCCCGAGCACTACGAGGTCATCGCGGAAGTGTTGCCTATCGCTCTCGAGGTGAGAGAGAGAGAGAGAGAGACAGACAGACAGACACAGAGAGAGAGAGAGAGAGAGAGAGAGAGAGAGA